TGTAGTGTATAGTAGTGTAGTGTATAGTGTAGTGTATAGTAATGTAGTGTATAGTGTAGTGTATAGTGTAGTGTATAGTAGTGTAGTGCATAGTGTAGTGTATAGTGTAGTGTATAGTAGTGTAGTGCATAGTGTAGTGTATAGTAGTGTAGTGTATAGTGTAGTATACGAGTACAGCTCTACACCGGTTGTGTGTTTGAGAGCAAATCCACAACATTTACAATTTGAAGTACAACGTTTCGCCAGTAATTACAACCGGCTTCACCAGGCGACGGCCAGATTCGTGAATAAATCCTCCGGCTTCGTTTGGGAAATTTTGTTGTTGTTGTTGTGTTTGCCCGTATAGAAATGACGCAAAATATAACAACGGACTTTTATTTACCCTTTCCCGAGCTATGAATGCTTGTGATACGTTGCATTGCCCTTGTACTGCCCTTCGACGTTTCTGGCTTTGTTCTCCGAGGCCTAGCGCCGGTGGTGAGACTGGGCCATAGACACGGCCCGCTGTCTCTCGGGTGCAGGCCAATGGGTTTCAAAAACGATGCGTGTATTCATCATCATAATTATTATTATAAGAGCACCTTTTTATTATTACACGCTTTTTATTAACTCACTCTGTCTGTTGTATCCTCAAATCTTGTAACTCAATTGTAACCCACTTCCCAATGTGGTATCGACTGCAAACTTAGTATACTTATGTCACACTGATGACAATACTAGATTCTATCATTACAAAATAAAAAATCTATATTTTTAAACATTATTTATTATATGTTATGTTTCGGCTTGGGTCTATTTGTCCACGGTAAACTGACGTTGGCTGTAATTGGCCCACGGTCCCCTTACGTTGTGGCAAGCTTCGGGGCCACTTCCTGGAGTCGTGGAGTTCTTCCATTACTAGAACGGTACATTTCATTAAAGCGTGTTTTTTAAAAAGTTTTTAAAAAAATATATTTATTCCTTATTGTGTTTGCATATTTTGGCCACAAATACAGCGTGTGTGCTCAATGCAGGCGTGGCGATGCCTCGCAAACGGTGTCTCTTTGGTGTTGGAACATCTGAACGCAATTACTTTCTTATTGCCACAGAGAGTATAAATAAAGCCCTCTTCCGCTTCTCGTGATTATTATTTTCTTCAATGCAACACACTTTTGTTGGCGCTCAAAACTTAGAAAGTGCATTATTTTGAATTGATCAACCTTGATGTCCTCAATAAAAGTGGCTGGTTTCCTTTCGGGCGCGTTTAATCTTCTTTTGCGCAAGCCACTCCACTTTTATTTTATTCGGCACGTGAACTTAGATCAATTCTGGGGGAATCCAACAAAAAAATACTATCTACTTTTTGCAGTGCAAGCAAAAGTGCGTGCATTGAAAAAAAACGTGGCTTTTCAAACAATCAAAAAAATCTCACCATGTCTTAATTCTCAATATGCTAAGGGAGGGGGGAGGGGGGCACAGGACATGTGGACCATCCTGTACTGTACATTGAAGACAAACCAGTTTTAGGAGTAGGCTTTGGACCGCACAATGAGCCAACAACAAAGCCACTTTGGTTTGCGTGCATTACACAGAGACGGAGGAGGAAGAGCGACACGAAATCCCAGTAGATGATACACAGAGACTCATAGAGATACACACAGACTCATAGAGATACACAGAGACTCATAGAGATACACAGAGACTCAGAGACTTGTAGATGATACACAGAGACTCATAGAGATACACAGACTCAGAGATACACAGAGACTCATAGAGATACACAAAGACTCATAGAGATACACAGAGACTCAGAGACTTGTAGATGATACACAGAGACTCATAGAGATACACAGAGACTCATAGAGATACACAGAGGCTCATAGAGATACATAGAGACTCAGAGTAACACAGAGACTCATAGAAATACACAGAGACTCGTATAGATACACAGAGACCCATAGAGATACACAGAGACTCATAGAGATACACAGAGACTCATAGAGATACACAGACTCATAGATGATACACAAAGACTCATAGGGATACACAGAGACTCATAGAGATACACAGAGACTCATAGAGATACTCAAAGACTCGCAGATGATACACAGAGACTCATAGATGATACACAGAGACTCATAGATGATACAGAGACTCATAGAGATACTCAAAGACTCGAAGATGATACACAGAGACTCATAGATGATACACAGAGACTCATAGAGATACACAGAGACTCATAGAGATACAGAGACTCATAGAGATACACAGATGCTCATAGATGATACACAGCGACTCATAGAGATACTCAAAGACTCGAAGATGATACACAGAGACTCATAGAGATACACAGGGACTCATAGAGATGCATCGAGACCGTATAGTGAGTGACCCGCTGTGGTTTGCGCTTCTTCACCGGAGGACAGAAGCAGACCTCGACTTTGGCATCTTAGCTGCTGAACAACAACAACAAGTCACGTGAGATTTTACAACAACATAGCCGGTGACGTCACCACGGCGCCTGTGCCAGGCTAGGTGCACTTTTGAGTGCCGAGTGTCGAAAGGGGGTTCCATCCTCTACACACTGACACAAAGACACAAAGACAAAGATCCATCGTACAGCCTGTCGGGGCAAGTGCTGTTAGCGAGCACCTATGGAGGCCGGCACGGCACACGAGGGAGTGGGTGGCCAGCACCACGCCCGGCCGCCTTTGTCTCCCCAGTGGCGATGTTTACACACCGTACCAGGTACTCATTTGAGGCTGAGTCGACCTAGGGGAGGCCCAGAACCGGTTCAAATAATCGTCACTGGTGTTGGCCGTGAACGGGAATCGAACCCGAGTCGCCACTGACACACAACAACAACAACCGCCATTCGCCACTAAGCGGCGGTGACGTCACCACGACGCTTGTGCCAGGCCATGTGCACCTTGAGGCCACGTGAAGTGTCGAACGCCCACAGGCAGGAGGTCACGGGGCAGACCCAGCAGGTGCCACGGGTCGACTGACTGAGATGACTGGCTGATGCACCACTTGTGCCCCCTACCGTGCCAACCTGCTGTGTTTTAGCCACCCGGCGCTCCGCTCGCTGTTGTGAGCGTCGCTCCTCTGCCCTCCGTTGTTGTTGGAGGGCGACTGCCTCCAACTGCCCAGTAGCGTCCTTCACGAGCCTCCTCCACAGAGGCCGATCTTGACACCGCTGGTACCAGTCATCGGCAAGTCCACTCAGCTCCACGTCCTCCTGTACCACATCACTCCATCTCTTCTCTAGCCAGTGCCGCGCCCGTTTAGCCCCCTCAATCCGGCCGAACAAAAGCTGTTTCGGCATGCGGTGGCTGGGCATACGGGCTACATGACCCAGCCAACGCATCCTTGCCTGCCGGAGGAGCTCACCGATGGGACTTTGCCCAGATCTTTCAAGGATTTGTGAGCTCACACAATCCAGCCTGGTTAAACCCAGGATGGATCGTTGGCAGGCTAGCCTAAATGTTTCTAACCGGCGAAGATGTTCCATTAGGGGGGTCCACGTTTCGCAAGCGTAGAGAACGGAGGGAATGACCGTGGCCGAGAAGACCTGAAGCTTAGTGCGGAGCGACAGACCAGGTCGCTTCCACACAGCGTTACGCAACCGATGAAAAGATATTGCCGCTCGACTGATTCGGAGTGAGACCTCTGCTGTTAAACTGGAGCCAGTCATAAGCACACTGCCCAGGTATGGGAAACTCTCTCCACAACTGCCCCATCACCGATTGGGAGTTGTGGGGGTGGAGTGTCCGATGGTACAAAATACCCAGGCAAGTACTTAGTTTTGGTGGGGCTGATGGTAAGGCCCCACCTCTTAGTGGCTCGCTCCAGTCTCAGCAGCAGCGTCTCCAACTCTTCCTCTGAATGAGCAGCTATTACCAAATCATCAGCATACATAACGTGGTTGAGCAATAGGGAGCCATCCCTTGACCGCACCCAGGCATCGATCAGCCTCCAATTATATCTGTACCAAATGGAGATTCCCCCGGTACAGCTATTGAAGGCTTCACGAACTACGTGGTCAAAATAGATGTTAAATAATGTGGGAGCCAGAGGACATCCCTGTCGCACCCCAAGGTGTACAGGGAATGGCTCTGACTCTCGGCCAAGTAGTATTACCCGGGCCCGCTCACCATCATGAAGGTCCTTAATGATCGTGAGCAGAGGGTCAGGGACTCCAAAAGCACGAAGAACAACCCAGAGCCCAGGCCTACTGATAATAATAAAGCAGAGATTTAGGTCTTGTTGGAATTCCCTACACCTCTGCTGTAGCAGACGAACAGAAAATATGGCATCTGTGCAGGACCGCCCTTTCCTGAAACCGCATTGGGGCTCCACAAGCCTCTCCTCAGTGTGCCTGGCAAGGCACACTGAGGAGTGAGATGCCCCTGTAGTTGTTACAGTCTGTGCGGTCCCCCTTCTTAAAGAGGGGGATCACCAGGGCATCCTTCCAATCTTGCGGAACCCGTCCAGTGGTCCAGACTGTTGTTATGATGTCATATAGGGCAGTCTGTACACAAACGCCACCCTCCCTCAGCATTTCGCCTGGGAGATCATCTCACACATACATATTCACTGACACAAAGACAAAGATCCCCCATATAGCCTTAACAGACTGTAGGGACAAGTGCCGTTAGCGAGCACCTATGAAGGCCGGAACGGTACACGAGGGGGTGGGTGGCCAGCACCACGCCCGACCGCCTTTGTCTCCCTATTGGTGATGTTTACACACCGCACCAGGTACTCATTTGAGGCTGAGTCGACCTAGGGGAGGCCCGGGACCGGTTCAGATAATCGTCACTGGTGTTGGCCGTGAGCGGGAATCGAACCCGGGTCGCCAGGTTCATAGCGCAGCGCGCTAACCGCTACACTACCGCTCCCCACAACTCACTGACACACACACACTGACACACACTGACACACACACACTGACACACACACACTGACACACACCACAATCTCTTACCCCCCCCCCCCCGCGTTCCACCCACACATGCGACTCGCCCCGCCCCGCCAAAGAGCTTCGACTCCACCACATTGCGGAGTTGCGCAACAAGTGTCCTGGGGGCGCTTCGGGGGCTGTGGAGAGAGAGAGAGACAGACAGACAGAGAGACAGACAGAGAGAGACAGACAGAGACTGATAAGAGACTGATAGAGAGACAGAGAGAAAGAGACCACTGATCCTAAAGAGAGAGACAGAGAGCGAGACGGAGAGGCAAAGACTGAGTGAGACTGCGGGAGAGAGGAAGCAGCGCTTTGGAGAATTCTCAACGGAACTCGCTGGGGTTAGTTAGTGGTGGTGGCGGTTAGTGGTGGTGGTGGTGGCGGTTAGTGGTGGTGGTGGCGGTTAGTGGTGGTGGCGGTTGGTGGTGGTGGTGGCGGTTAGTGGTGGTGGTGGCGGTTAGTGGTGGTGGTGGTTAGTGGTGGTGGCGGTTAGTGGTGGTGGTGGTGGCGGTTAGTGTGTGGCGGTAGTGGTGGTGGTGGTGGCGGTTAGTGGCGGTTAGTGGTGGTGGTGGCGGTTAGTGGTGGTGGTGGCGGTTAGTGGTGGTGGCGGTTAGTGGTGGTGGTGGTGGCGGTTAGTGGTGGTGGTTAGTGATAGTGGCGGTTAGTGGTGGTGGCGGTTAGTGGTGGTGGTGGCGGTTAGTGGTGGTGGTGGCGGCGGTTAGTGGTGGTGGTTAGTGGTGGTGGCAGTTAGTGGTGGTGGTGGCGGTTAGTGGTGGTGGCGGCGGTTAGTGGTGGTGGTTAGTGGTGGTGGGTGGCAGTTTAGTGGTGGTGGTGGCGGTTAGTGGTGGTGGGTGGCGGTTAGTGGTGGTGGTTAGTGGTGTGGTGGCAGTAGTGGTGGTGGTGGCGGTTAGTGGTGGGTGGTTAGTGGTGGCGGCGGTTAGTGGTGGTGGTTAGGGTGGCGGCGGTAGGGTTGGTGGTGTAGGTGGTGGCAGTTAGTGGTGGTGGTGGCGGCGTGGAGAGGGCGGCGGTTAGTGGTGGTG